AATATGCTCAGTAAATATTTTTCATATTATAAGGTATAATTTATTGATGCCTCCTATCGTTTGGTCGTGTTCACAAGCAGATATCGCTTGTGTTCTGTTGAAGATTATAGTAATATGCTTATTAAATTTCTGCATATTCTACGGTATAATGTAATTTAAGTCTACTATCGTTTGATCCTGTTCACAAGCAGATGTTGCATATGTTCAGTTTAAGCTTAAGTATACTTTAAGTTTAAGGTATAATATATCTAAGTATCCTATCGTTTGCTCGTGTTCAAAAACAGATATCACTTGTGTTCAGTTTAAGCTTATAGTAAAATGCTCAGTAAATTTTTGAATATTCTATGATATAATATATATTAGTCTACTATCGTTTGATCGTGTTCACAAGCAGATATGGCTTGTGTTGAGATTAGGATAATATTATTATGCTCTGTAACTTTCCTATCTTCTAAGTAAAGAATTCTGGGTTGGTTCCTTTGGTTCAAGTTTCGTGGGATACAGTATTGGTATGACAGTTTCGAGGTTAAGTACTTATGTACCAGTTTCTGAAATAATTTCAAAAATTCTATAAGGAACACATTCAAATAACGACTTAATTCATATTCCAATTATAAGAAAATCATGAATCATTAAAACAAATTACTAGTGAGTTCTCACCAAATCACTAGAGCTATGGCATAAATAAATCTCAGGTGACAGACGACTCGTAAACGAGTTTGCGAATACAAGAAAGTTCGTGTTCTAGAGTGGTCGGCCTAAGGAAATGAGATGCTTCAACATTCTAAGATATAATGTATTTAAGACTCTTATCATTTGATTGTGTTCACATGTAGATATCGCTTGTGTTCAATTTTATATTATAGTAATATGCTCAGTAAATTTTTTCCATATCCTAAGGTATAATATATATAAATCTCCTATCGTTTGATCGTATTCACAAGCAGATATCGCTTGAGTTCAGTTTTAGATTATAGTAATATGCTCAGTAAATTTTTTAACATCCTAAGCTATAATATAGTTAAGTCTTCTATCGTTAGATCGTGTTCACGAGCGGATATCGCTTGTGTTCAGTTTAAGATTATATCAATAGGCTCAGCAGCATTTTGTATATTCTAAGGTATAATATATTTGAGTTCCCTATCGTTTGATTGTGTTCAGTTTCAGATTATAGTAATATGATCAGCAAATTTTTTTATATCCTATGGTATAATATATTTAAGTATCCTATCGTTCGATCGTGTTCACAAGAAGACATCGCTTGTGTTCAGTCTAAGATTAAAGTAATATGCTCAGTAAATATTTTTCATATCGTAAGGTATAATATATTTTAGTGTTCGTAGGAGTGGTTTATCGCGAAAGCAGGTCATGAATTTGCTGAAATCATAGGAAATATACGCTCTCCAAGTCTACATAAACCAATAAAACAATGATTTCACCATAAGAAGAGTCAAAGTAACAAAGATCGATGATCAATGGCAGGAAGATTTCGTTGACGTGCAGAAGTATACAGATAAAGGTAAAAAAGAACATTCTAACTGTGATTGATATCTTTAGTAAATATGATTGGGCAGTTCTTATACGAATAAAGACTGACGAAGAGATTAAAATCTATTTCCAAAATCTTTTCCTAGAACGAATTCCCTCTAAAATTCTAACAGACAAAGGCCTGGAATTCACTAACATGCCAACAAAAGAGTTATTCGAGGAGTTTGAAATTCAATGGTTTGAAACTTAAAATGAAATTAAAGCTCAAGTTATTGAGATATTTAATTTAACCGAACTCTTAAAAGGAAAATGTAGAAATATATTACTTATGCCAAGACCAAAAAGTGGCTACATATTTTTCAAGATTTAGTTGAAAATTATATCAGTTATGAAAGTTCAATAAAAATGACTCCTCGTGAAGCTGCAATATAACAGAGCAATACAATGGTCTATGCAAATTTATTCCCTCAGATAGAGATCGTTGTGAGAAAGCCTAAATTCAACATTGGTGATCGTGTCAGAATTAGTAGAAAACGGAGGACATTCAATAAAGGCTTCTTCCTAATATCACTCGTGAGTTATTTATCATCTAAACTATTATAGACGAGACCAGTAACATATAGGATGAGAGATATTGACGGTGAAAAAGTAATAGGTAGTTTTTCTAAGAAAAATTTTAAAAATATATCAGCGGCGTTTATGAAATTGAAAAAATTTTGAAAAAGAGTGAAAGAAAATTGTTAGTCAAATGGAAGGGATATGATATCGACTTAAAAAATCACACATAAAGTTAAAAAAGAACAGACATTGAGTTCAAGTTGTTTAAAATATTTTTCTTATTAAAATGTCATTAATTGATATAAACGGAAACAGATTAAATACAAATAATAAACAAGGTTAGCTCTGAGAGATGCTCCAAGAGAAGTATTTTCAATCAAACCTGCTGAAAGATTGGCGTTAACGTACCTCCCGACTCAAAAGGACTCGACTAAAAAAAGAACTAGTTGGTTCACTAGCTAAAAAAAATTTTAAGTTACGCATTCAAATCTGGTTCTAAATATGACAAAGCTTACGGCATGAAATTTGATGGAGAAAATGTCATGTTAGTAGATACAAATATCAGCATCCAAGGTAATGATTTAGAGATTGGTAATATAATTTTTGAAGGAATTGTTGGATTATGGGAGCTGTTAACTAAGCAAATGCCAGGAAAGTATGATGAAAGAGATTTTGCAAATTATTTTAGAATTGTGAGACAGATTAAGCCTCATCTCAAGCCAGATGGGATAATAAAGGCAACTAGAGGGGAAAAATACTACAAATTCATCAAACCACTCAATAAAGCGATGCAGAAGTCTGATAATTTAATATTAAATATTATTAATTAATTAAATAGTCTGATAAAGTAAATAATTATGATGTCTTAATGCAATAATTGTAAACTACAGTGTAATTAATGGGTCGTATCTCAATGGTGATTTACAAAATATCTTGTATACATTTTCCCCAAAGTTCCCCGGGATATAAAATTGTGGATAATCCTAGTCAACTAATTTATTTAGCCGTAGTTCAACCTTCAATTTATAATATCCGAATATGGTTACCAGATCAAAATTGGGATCTCTTGAACACCGGTGGTGAAAAAATAACAGTGCGATTGCACTTGAGATCGAGAAATTTCAACAATCTTTAGAAAAATTACTTATAAAATGAATAACTTACGATGAAATCAAACTATTAAAATTGATGAATCAATTCCAAAAATTGAAACTCTAAAAAGAGCCTCAAACTGAAACTGATTTGAATAAATAACAAAAATATTATTAAGAATCGGGATTTAGTTTCTGCAATCATCAGAAAGTTGTGTATACGTCGGAGGAGCTTTAACGAAAGAAGATGGTAGCAATTAAAATTTCAAATATGATGAAATATCAATTATTAATAATGGTCTGATGTATTTATTCGATCGAGTATCTTATATAATAGGAAATTAGGAAATTGAGGGCTGTAGCTATCCTGTAGATATGACATTTTTATGGTAGATCTTTTTATTTCACACTAAAAATAAATCTTGATGACTAATCATGATGATGATAACACGATAACTAAATAAATTCTGTGACAACACAACTTGATGACTAATTAACATCCTATGACTACACCCATTATAATTAATTTAGTGAAATGAATTAACTGAATGATGTGGAATAAATTATCATTTTTTAGAATGGTCTGTAATGGAATAGATAACATTGGAACTAAAGCATCATCATCAAACTTTTCTTTCAATACCTGATATAAGAACCTAAAAAAAAACAAAATTGTAAACTGGCTGCAGAGTTTTTTACTGATTACCTTAGAGTATTTTTGTTTAACATCTTGTATAAATTTTTAATGATTGAAATTTGATGTTGACATATTTCCCATCGCAAGTAACTCCTTACCATGGATCCACGCTGCTGCTAAGTCGCAGAATAAGATTTCAATTACGGTACTGATTCATTTCCTCAAATGTTTCAATTTTACCTTTCTTTGTTAAATTGAAAAGCCGTCTTTCTCATTGATACAGATTTTTGGAGGATGGCTATCTTATCATATGCGTTCATATTTTTCGATTTGATATGATTTCTCATCCCTTACCGCATTATTCAACGTTGCTATGACTTGTATGAGATCACACCTCGCACTTCTTATAGCGTATTTTCTTTTGCAGAAATTATATCCATGATAAATTTTTCTCTTCCCAAATTTCTGCAAAAATCCACTGAAACTAGTGCGCGTGCAAAGGTTGGCCGATACTACCGTTCTGCAGGAGGGTTTGATATAATTAATGTTCCGGCAGTCAGCATGAGATGTGCTTTATAAAGCTGAATTGGTAACGCCCCTTTTCCAGGAACTGAGCGGCTCTCTTAAGGTTTCCAGAAGTGACTCGTGGGAGAGGGACGTTGGCTTTGTATCAACATATGAATAATTGAGCTGGTGATACACACACTAGCAGTATACTGCTCAGGTATTCTGATTCAGGATTACACCCGTAAGCAATAATTTTTTCCAAAGAAATATCTTTGAAAAAGATACTTGGCTAAGTCCCGGGTTTTTAATTGCCAAAATTTACTGACATCGATTAAAAAATATTGTGAGTGCTCAGTGAGGTTTCGATTGGGGACAATGTTCAAATTATTGATCGTCAAGAATCGAGATAAGATTGTGGGTAACCTGTTTTAAGCTGTTTGTGTTCATAGTGATGATAGACTCGCTTTGCTATATAAAAAAATAGAACATAACGACCAAGACCGTTTTGTCCAAGACCTCGAGTTTTCGTTGATGCTCGTCGATTTTTGGTATCTGTTTTCCGAGTAAAAGTTTTATCATGGCTTGAATTACCTTCATAAACTTACTGATTTTGACGTAAATTAGTTCACGATAAACGTGAACGCAAAAATCTTTTACTGATAGTTGTTGAAATTTCGTCTTGTTGAAATGATTGAATAAAAATTAATTTTGTCCCTAGAACTTACCAAGGCATAGCAGTGAAGTCCCTTTGAGGCAGTTGGAAGAAAAATAAGCCAGAAGAAAGGTGAGATTTCAAAGCCGGCAGTTGCTGACTGTCAACGTCATTAGCAATTTCGAGCTTGACGGCCGGAGGACGTCTATTCCAAAATAGATTACTTTCAGTTCCGGGATAGTTTTACCTATGTATTCGATTTTTCCTTTGTGGTTATTTAGACCCGCTCTTTGGCAATTCGCTTTTCGACCTATGTGTTTCTCAGTTATCACATTTGCTGATATTATTTTAGAGTTTTATATAATTAATAATGCCTGAGTCTCGTCGATCTACAGTTCAATAGTATTTTTGTAAAGTTTGCATGCTCTTTCGTGCCATTTGTCAGTTAATTTAAGAAATGATTTATTATTTCATCACCCTTACTCAAGATTATGTTCAATAATCTGTTCTAGATTTGAACTCAATCTTTCCATTATTTGGTCTGATGGACACAATATTTGTTTTTTAATAGTGATCTCATATTTTTATTAATTAATTTTGTTCTGCTCAATTCCCTAATGTACATAAATTTCTCGAATCCAAGTTTCAAGTTTGCATATTGTTACGTATTTCATTTTCATGCATCCAAAATTTATCGCATGATCAATATTTCTTCTCGAAGTGTTTCAAAGGTTCTTACAACCCCCAGCAACTCGGCAAGCATGAGGCAGTGGCAAGTGTTGGGCGTGTTGGGCGTCCTGTGTGTGGCCGCCACCATCGCTCTCAGCGTCACGCTCCCGGAGACAACCAAAGTCAATGGTGAGCAAATTGTGTGGGTGCGGCCGTATATTTCTTTTAAATAAAATTTATTGAGATGAAACCATTTACGTTCAGTCGTTCGCAAATAAAATTTGTTCGCATTCATACGAGCATTCTGAACCAATTTTTGAGGAAATTGTCACGAAATTCGTATTAGAACACGGCGATGATGTCATATTTTACAGTTTTATGTTTCAACAGCTGTTAGTAATTTAGGCTTATGAAATAAGCTTATAGGCTTATGAGTCTAAATACTGACTTTTTCGGACGCAGAAAAAAAATTTTATTCCCCGAGACATGCAGTGGGCCCAAGTCCCGGACTGCAAGTAGCATCGACACTAATGCAGGTGAATGCATTTCTTTTTCATTTTATTGTTGCATCTTATCGATAAAATGAAAGTATTACTTAATTGAGCCCATAACACTTCTATTTTACAATTTCGATTTTGGAGGGGTGAGTTGAAACCTTTGAAAATATTTTGTATAAATGAAAGGATAAATTGTTAACCTCCTTTTCATGTGCGTTTAGGACCTCTGAATTGATGCTGTCACCTTCTGAACGAGAGACATCAACTGTGAATTAAAATTATTTTAAACTACTCTTTAAATTATTTTAAATTATTTTAAACTCCTCTTCATTTTAAACTACTCTTTCCCGGCACCTGTAGGTGCCGGGAAAGCATCATAAGCATTAAATTTCATAATATCATAGCATTAAAGTTATCATAAGCATCAAATTTCTATGTCATGCTCGTGATGTTCACTAATTATCGCGAAATTTTGTATACACCATAGGCTGAGGATGCGGAGAAGACACTTCTTGAGGAGCCAGTCCCACCCAGTCATCGTCAAAGCCTCGTCAAGAACAGGAAAGTAGGGCGAATGCTGAATGTTTTTAAAACATTAAATAAACACTTTTCGGACAATTTGTGCTTAAAATGAAAATAAATTTGATCATAATTTTAAAATCAACTCCATTAGTATGTAAGAAACATCTGATATATTCATAAACACCCATACACAAACTTTTAAACTTCGAAATCGAAGTTAAAAAGTTTTTAATTTGGATTTTGGCTTCAAATAATAGCCAAGACAGCTGTGGCCCAAATAATTGTAACAAAAGCAATTCCAAATATCCTGATAAAAGAGAAATTGTCCCATCCATAATAAAACGTACTCGATGCCTTGCCTTAGTCATGTAGTCCTTCATATATCCCAATACTTCTCAACACACCCGATAAATAACCATATTCTAACTGCAAAACAAATATTACGTTTCATCGCAAATGTGCGTTGTTGCAACGTCATGCACCCACAAACGCTTCATGAACAATGAAAAATCCACACAATAAATACGGTCTTCCGTCAACAATTGCCCAAAATATAGCCCACCATCAAATCATGTGACCCACAGAGCTGCAGTGGTGCAGTGGTGAGAGACTCTGTCTCTCGCACCCAGCTCCCGGGTTCGAGTCCCACTGAGGACAAGTTCTTCCGGGAAGCTCAGCTCATGATCAACTCAGCCATCCATCCAACTCTGGTTGATAAATGAGTACCTGGCTTGTCCAGGGTGTTGTGTAATGCAAAAATGGTTCTGACGGGTCAGCGAGCCAGTGATGATCGTGGAACTACCAGTGGCACAAGTGCCCGGAATAACTGTCCTATCACCCCTCCCTTACCTAATCGCCACTACAGGATGGGCAATTACATCAACAACAACCCACAGCTCTTCAATCAACTCACTTCCCTACCAGGCAGTCTCCACGTACGCTTTCAAAAAACACACACCAACCCCTGTTTAACCCGGTGCCACACTCCTACTCGGCCACACTCCTCGGCTTTAACACAACACAACGGGCCGGCTGCATCCAAGCCATAATTCCCCTTCGCATCCGAGTGCAGTCACCGACACCTCACATGGCCTCTTTACACCCTTTTCCCATAACTACAGTAATCACTACACTCGCGCATCCCAACGTTAGTTCATATGTCACGTCTAGGTGATTTAAAGCTGATCATCAACATAATCATACTTTAAATAAAATGTCTGTCATAAATAAAAGAAAAAACATTACATAATTAAACATTATGAATGGGAGCCGTCATATTTAAACCTCTCACTCTTCCCTGCCAATTGAGTAAAGCCTTGACGGATTCTCTCGCCCCCTCTTTCGACCCCGACCCAACCCAACCAATCACCCAACACCCTTCACAAAATAAATCATGCGTTTAACGCTTTTCTTAACTAAAGGCCTCATTATAATATCACAAACCACAAAGAAATAGTTTCAGTATTTATTCTAATAATAAAACGAGATTCATGTCATGTGCCATATATCTTACTCGTTTTCTAGTCAATAGTTCAATCCTCTCCCTCGTCTTGTTCCTAGCCTTCATCCTACCCGAATTGTTAGTACCCCAGTATTGGAATCTGTAACTTATACTTGCAGCCCTACACGGGCTCCCTCGCAACCAAGGCCGTGAACGGGACACTGGTCTGCGAGACTCCCGAATGTTCGATGGCAGGTAATTGAGAACACATAAACGGGCTTAGAGGTTCTCGTATCGAATTTACTTGATGTCAAACACTTTTCTGAGAAAGGGACAAATTTTTAGGAAATTTTAGTCATTCAACCATTATTACATATTTTTTATGATTTAATCTGTATATTAAAAACTATTTACATTGATATTTAATCAATGATGTATTTTTATTGGTAAGCTGCTTTGATCCGCGCCAACATGGACGTGACAGTGAACCCATGTTACGACTTCTATACATTCGCTTGCGGAGGCTTCCTCGACAGACACCCCGCTCCTCCTGAGTAGGTTGAGATTATCTACTAACATTGTTGAAATATATTGCTTTCCAAAAATTTACCAAAACTTTGCTAATAAAATATGCAATCTCAAATAGTTCAGTTCTTGATGCTATGAATTCATGATGCTTCCAGCGGCCTTGGTTGAGCGCGAATAGGCATTGCCGAGTAAATTTACTTAAAATTGTATACTATCTATGACTATTCGTTACAGAAAACAATTGCTTATACTCTCAATAGGAAATATATTTGACGTCTAGTTTTGAGCGTTTTTATTAAGAGAATTTTTGTCGTTCCAGTTGGAATACATTTGCCGATGCGGGTAGCCTTCTCGATGAGCGCCTCACGCTGCTGCTGGAGACGCCAGCCGCCGCTTCCGACCCGCCCCCGCTGTTCATGCTCAGGAGGGCGTACAATGCCTGCATGGACACGGGTGAACATCATCACACTGTGTTGATGCCAGAGTGACACTCAAGAACCGTAATCTTTGAGTGGCAAATTTTCGTGTTGTGAAACATTATTTTGCAGTCGTATCATAGTTTTTTACTTGATCGTAGGTTTACTCGTGTTGATACGCAGATTTTTTAACAATTCAATTCCCTTGTACAAAGACGGCATGGACTCGCTGGGCTTGGCCCCTCTATGGGGAGCGTTGCAAGGCATCGGAGGCTGGCCCATGGTTGACCCCGCATGGGATCCTGCTTCGTACTCCACCGAAGCCTCCTTGGCTTCTCTGCGTGACCTCTTCATCACGCCTATGTTCGGCATGGCCATCTCTGCCGACGTATTCAACACCTCACACTTCATGATTTATGTTGGTATAGCTCTGATACGCTTTCATTTGTTAATTTTTTATGAAGCCATTACTTTTTTAGCAAAAAATACCGATTAAGTGTATGGCAAACACATTTTAGTAAGAGTTGCGATGAGTTTTTATTTTTCTTTATATATAGCTCACACATCAAAAATTCTTCACTTGTGTGTTAGGAAGTATTTTCTCAACAGTAATCTTATCCTACCCATTACACTTGTAAATTAGGAACAACTACAACTGTGATTAAATTAGACGGGAAAAGATAATGAAAGTCAATAATGCGTTACTGTCCTTGCCTTAGGTGGGCGAAGGTTCTCCGGGCATCAACTAGACCGTCCTCGCCAATCCGATAATTTTCTCTGGAATTTATGACGCATACAGAACTTTCATAACCGAATCTGCCAAGCAAATGAGAGACTACCTAGGCTCCAGCATTACAGATGCAGAGGTTAGTGCTGAAGTTGAAGACCTGCTTGCTTTTGAGACCACACTGGCAAAGCTCATGGTCGATGCGGGTGCCGACAATGTTACCGAACTCCTCGAAAGGATGACCGTGGATCAAGTCCAAGCTGCGCTTGACTCGCAAACTCCAGGACAGGTAACGAAGTTATACCTGTTATAAATATTTTATACGCAATCGTCTAAGGCGTTCACTTGATAATATGTACTTAATAGCTGAGGCAAGAATTAGTTGAAGGCTGTAAACAGTGTGAATAGTTTTGAAATATGACTCATAATTTGAATTTCATGCTTACATTTCAAACTCATGTAGCAAAGTTTAACACTGGTAATAGGTGAACTGTCCAAAAATAGTATGAGAAATCATTTAGGTTAATTAAAAATTGAGATACGCGTTAAGTCAGATTGTCATTTTTGAAAACAAGCGATAAATTCAGGAAAAAGTACTTATGTCAATGATCCAGACGCTAGTGTGAAATGATAAGCTTCTTATTGCAATATATGCACCGCAATCTGGGAAGTATGTAAAAAAATCGGGTTCATTATAAGTTCCTGCTATGGTTTGATTGTCGCATACGCTGCATATCAACGCATGGAAGTTAAAAATAGTTCCTCAAAAAATTTACAGGCCATTCACCGGTGAATAAAGTTAACCTGTGTTAATTAAGGTTGGTTAATAAAATTAAAGGCTTAGAAATAATACAGTCGTCTGCTTCAGTGCAGTAGCAAGATGTTCTTTCCAATTTTGTTAGTTCAACTTGCTGGAATACATCCGTTTGGTGTTCGAGCCGTCTTCTGTGACCATCACAGCGGACGAAGTGATATACCTTGAGGAGGGTGTCGACTACATCTCACGATGGAGCACGCTGCTCTCAGAAACCCCTACGAGAGTTCTCGGTGAGTATCATGGTTATTATCAGTTTCAATAAATACAAATTTATTACAAGAATTAACATGAGTCAAAATCTGTTTTAATTAAAAAAAACTGCCGAATAACTTCATCGACTCGTGAAAGGTCTATTAAAGAAAATTGTATTGGAGTCGATATCAAGATTTGAGGAGAGAGGTGAGGGTTCGATCCCAGCTCTAAGCGCCAGTTTTTTGTCAGATTCGGCGAAGAGTCTAGGTGGTTAAGCTCAGCAAAATCGGCGACGGACCTAAGGCCAAATAAACGCTGATTGCTGAAACCGCTACAGTATTATAATATAATCCACAACGTCTTATTCACTTCTTTTTACAACGATACAAATAATTATACAATTTTTTTTTCATTCATCCCATCAGCAAATTTCATGTCATGGATGTGGGTTCTTCAGCTTGGAACTCAGACAACCTATGCAATGCGGAAAATTAGCAGTGACTTCGAAGAAATCTACTTCGGAGCCAAACTTGATCAGTTTCCAAGAGCTGACTTCTGCAGGATAGAGATGAACCAGGACTTGGGCTTCGTGCTCTCCAGGGCCTACGTTGACGAGTTCTTCCCAGCTGGAGCCAAAGAAGAAGTATTGCTCAAAATTCAAACCAGATAATCATGAAAATTTCTGTGGCCGCTTTCGAGACGTATTTATTAATTCTTTAAAGTAGAATTTTCAGGATTTAAGTTGTAAACTTATTGACCTACGGATAGTGATCTTGCAGATTTATAGAACAATCTGAATCACGACACACCATCGCTAACAGCGCTGGTCTACCTTCATCAGAACGAGCAGCTCGTCGAGGACGTCCGTTCTTCGTTCAATGCTATGTTCGACGAGAACACATGGCTCACTCCAGAGGACCTCGTCACAGCCAGAGAGAAGCTACAGGCAGTCGAAAGTATCGTCGCTTACCCCGAATGGATTATGGACGATGCCACCTTCACGGCAGCCTATGAAGGGGTAAGCTGTGCCTGTAAATGCTTGATAACTTGATATGAGTAGTATAGGAGTGAGCCTATCACAACAGTTTGTCTAAATAGCTTAACAGTTACCGATCATTTATTCCAACTCTTCTTTCGAATCTTGCCCATCAAAATTAACCAATTACCCTCGAATAAATCCTGGTCATTTAGCCAAAATCTCACCCCGAATATTAGCCATCAAAATTTACCAAATTACCCCCGAATAAAACCTGGTCATTTACCAACAATTTTATTTAGAATCTTGACCAGCAAAAATTTGAGCGCTGTCTATCGATCAAAAAACCTGAGCATTTACCCACAATCATACCCCGAATCTTGGCCTCTAAAGTCATGAGTTAACGGCCATTTACCCCGATTGACCGAGCACTCTTTAACCATTAACTCAGGGCTTAACCTAGAGCGGTTGTCGGAAAAATACTTCTGTGGGATATATAATTGATTTTAATTTCTGAAATACTTTCCAGAACTGGGATGCTCATCTTTATTAATCAAAACAACCCCAGATTACCCAAAGAGGTAGCAAATGTCCTAGCCGGCCCTTTGACGTCATTTTTTTCGAAAATACTTTGAACGAAGGGATCTTGTCGGCTGACTGGAAAGAAGCTCAAGTAACACCATTATTCAAAAAAGGTGACAAAAGCTGCCCGGGCAACTATCGCCCTGTCAGTTTGGCAAGTGTCGTTTGCAAGGTAATGGAATCTGTTGTGAGGGATCGATTGATAGATCATTTGACTGCTAATAATCTCCTATCAGACTGTCAACATGGCTTTATTGCCGGGAGATCCTGCACCACTAACCTCTTGTCGACTCCGAACGAATGGACCCGCCTGCTGGACGAAAGGGCGCCAGTAGATGCAGTGTACCTCAATTTTGCCAAGGCATTTGACAGTGTCCTGCATGAGCGGCTGTTTTGGAAATTGCAGTCTTTAGGAATTGACAGCAATGTACTCAAATGGGTCAGAGATTTTCTAGTAGGGAGACGCAAACGTGTCAGTATTAATGGGTCCGTATCAGACTGGGCTTCAGTGCGCAGCGGCGTGCCACTAGGAAGCGTTCTCGGGCCTGTTTTATTCGTTGCGTTTATTAACGATCTGCCAGAAGCTGTGTCTAGCGTGTGCTCGATGTATGTTGACGACAGAAAAATTTATAATACAGTGAAGAATACGTCGCAAATTGTACAGTTACAAGGTGATCTTGACAGGCTGGTTGACTGGGCTGATAAGTGGCAGCTGCGTTTTAACGCTGACAAATGTAAAGTAATCCACCTTGGCAAGAATAACGAACAGCATGATTACAGTATGAGAAGATACGGTTGCAACGACAGAGTGATGATGTCGAAGTCGAAAATGGAAAAAGATTTAGGAGTTAATATCGACAATGAGTTGAAATTTTCTAAGCATATTGAAGGTCAAGTTAATAAAGCCAATAAACGACTTGGACTCATCAGACGCTCTTTCGAGTTCCTAGATGCAGAAGCGATGAAGCAGTTGTTTGTTGCTGTCATGCGCCCGAACCTAGTTTGGAAACGTCGTGTGGGACAAAAATTTGAAAAGGTCAAAAATTTAATAGAGAGTGTTCAAAGACGTGCAACAAGGATAATTTCGGGCTTAAAAGGCAAGTCCTATGAGGAAAGATTAAATATTATGAAGCTGCCAAGCCTCAGTTATCGACGTCTGCGTATGGAGCTCATTGAAGCATACAAGTATACTCATGGCTTATACAAGGTCCCAGAAGGATTACTAGAATTTGAAACATGAACCAACACCAGGGGCCACGGCTATAAACTAAAAAACTTCGGTGTAACACATCCATGCGACAACATTTCTTCTCGCTTCGAGTCACCGACATTTGGAACAGCCTCCCTGATTGCATCGTTGACGCTCCGAGTATGAACACCCTCAAGAACAGACTAGACGAAGCTAAGCAGGAGCATATATTCAGTCTTAAAATGTCTAGCAAATTACGGACCAGGCAATAAGTCCAGCAGCTATCTCAATCAATCGTCAGTTATGGAAAGATAGGGTGCCGAAGGCTGGATCCCTTGTGAATCAAGTCACAAAAAATTCAAGAATCGGCAACAGGCCATGGGCCTATTTTTTTCAGTGCCGACACCTCTATTCTATTCTATAAGCTATATCATACGTTTCATTACACAGTTCTTGAAATTCTGCAAAGGGCATATCACAAGCAATGTAATCACCAGGAATATTTTTCATATCGATGAAAGATAACTCGAATAGAATTAATAAATTCGAATTCGTTCTAATGGTTTGTCTCGGTGATATGTGATAGTTTTGGGATAAGTTAATTGAACACAGTTATTGTGTCTTCCACGGGTCTAAAAACTGTCAGCAGGATTTTGATACTTTTCCGTAGTAATATCATCAAAAAATGAACAAATTTTTCTTCCTGGGATCTTTGTCAGTGGGATCAGGCACAGAAGCAGTATTCTCACATTATACGATTGCACATTTTGCTAAAACCCTTTTCAACGTTCGTTCTAATATATTCACTTGAATTAGAATCTTGTTTATTTCGATGGAGAGATTACGAATATCATAGCGAATATTATCAACATCAATCTGTAGCTGATTAATATTTCCGGAATTGAACATCACCTCTCTATGGGCATCTCTTATTACGTCTTCCTTTTTTATAAGAAATTTCATCAAGATTTTTTTCTCCTCACAGGCTGCCTCGAATGACAATAGCGTGTAAATGAATTGCCATCTACTAACTTTAATATACTTCCATCATGAATCACTCAATATTTTCGAATATTTTTAATGGGCTCATTACACTGGACTAGATGGAATGACTTTCTAAACCAAAGAGTAACTACATTAGGTAGAGTGAATTTTCAATCTTCTGTTTATCAATTATTTCATGTAGTACATTAGCTCTCACTTATATTAACCAAGAATACAAATGCATTCTGGCATCGATTGATATATGACTTATTGATACTCTCAATAGTTATAGGCATTACTATGCCATGTTTCCCAACATAAAAGTTATAACTTGTCTTATCGATTTTCGGGATAGAGGGATACATATCCAGTCCCACCAATGCCAGTCCATGAAATTTGTTTGTATCCAATTTTATTGCTGGCGTGAAATTCAAGTAAATCTCACTTTTTCTTCCGGTAATAACTATGCTTTGCGATTCCATTTTCTTAAACAGAAATCATTCAATAGTTTAACATCATGATCTTTAAACAAATTTCGTTTATAAAGTTAATGAGTGAGTTCCTGCAATTGATTAAAGACTCCTGTGTTTCTAGCATTCAGAGAGCTAAATAATAAGTGATGTCTTGCAACAATATCATTAACGTTAGAAGGTATCACTATTATTCCTGATCCTGCAACATCTGAATCAGTATTCGGTCTTGATTCAGGAGTTGAATCCCGAGATGATGCCGGGCTTGCAGCTTTAATTCTAGCAACTTTATAACGCACCTTTTCTTTTTGCAAAGCATTATACAATAGTTTAATTAATTTTTTATACTTCTCTCCTTTGCTTGCTTTTATTGTTCCATCCGGCTTGAGATGAGCCTTGGTCTGTCTCAAAATTGTTAGATAATTTGCCACATCATTTCTTCATAGTTTTCAGGGGATTGTTTTGTTACTAGCTCCCATAACCATATTACTAGCTCCCATAACACACATGTTGTTACTAGCTCCCACTCAATGTGTGTTCATTTTGAACTCAACTTGTGTTTAAATTAATGTTAGTTCCACTCGATGTTAGTTCAGCTTCTGGAATCCAAGATGGGTCATCATATCCCTACTATTTAACTAACAATTTCCCTTTACTCTTCTTCATAATTTTATCAATTTAATAATATCTCTGCTATATTGTGATAATTCTTCTTCGTAAAAACACCCCATTACTTTTTCAACGCTCATATCTTTCAACCTATAAGTTACTGGTTTTGTCTTTAATAATTTAGAGAAGGTAAATAACTCACGTATGAAACTAGGGAGATATAATTTATTAAAATATCTACGATTTCTACTAATTTTGACACGATCTCCAATTTGAATTTAGGATTTCAACCGTCGTTATCTCGGGGAATAAAGTTGCATAGACTATTTTACTGCTCTGTTCCATTGAAGCATCACGAGGAGTCATTTTCTTTGATTTATGATATGTAACCATCGTAAAATTATCAACTAAATCTGGTAAAATGTTTACCCACTTTTTTTGTCTTAGCGTACGTGAAATATTTCCACATTTTTGTCTTGAGAGTTCGGTTAAATCTCTCAACAACTTGAGCTTTAGTTTCATTTCCAGTTGAAAACCATTGAATTTAAAACTTTTTGAGCTCTTGTGTTGGCTTTTAATGAACTCTAGACCTTTGTTTGAATTTTTCAGGGAATTTGTTCAGTGAAAAACGTTTGGAATGAGGTTTTAATCTCTTCACCAGTTTTTCTACGTACAGGAACTGCCCATGCATGTTTGCTAAAGATGTTAATCCCAGTTAGATTGTAGTTATTACCTTCATCTGTATACTTCTGCATGTCAACTAAATCTGCTTTCCATTGATTATCAATCTTATTTACTTTAACTCTTTTTGTGGTAAAATTATATTTTATAGGTTTATGTAGAGTTTATGTTTCCTGTGACTCCAACCAATTCGTGACTGGCTTTCGAGATAAACCACTCCCACGAACGAGTTCATTTGTACGTAGCCGGTTTTAGGATCGTAATGTATTTGACTTAGAATTTTACCACTCAATTCTGTGAGTGAAATTTTACGTTTTTGATACACCAAGACATACATAACTTTTTCCAGCCATTATAGTATTAACTAATTTTGCATCAGTTCTAACATATGTCTGTTCATTAGGATCTATCGCAATTTCAGCCGCTTTCTTTGGTAGAATACCATCAAACTTGTTTCTGTATTCAGTTTTTGTATGCTCGTTATATATCATACTCTCTACAAGCTCTATCCAATGAATTAGTTCCCT